AGAAGGCTCCGGGGAGACCTTATTGTGGCCTTTCAGTACTTAAAGGGGGCTTATAAAAAAGATGGCAGCAAACGTTTTAGCAGGGCCTGTTGCAACAGGACAAGGGGGAATGGCTTTAAACTAAAGGGGTGTAGATTTAGACTAGATATGAGGAATAAATTTTTTTGCGCTGAGGGTGGTGAAACACTGGCACAGGTTGCCCAGAGAGGTGGTGGATGCCCCATGCCTGGAAACATTCAAGGTCAGGTTGGATGGGGCTCTGAGCAACCTGATCCTGTTAAGATGTCCTTGCCCATGGCAGGGGGGTTGGACTAGATGACCTTTAGAGGTCCTTTCCAACCCAAACCATTCTATGATTCTATGATTCTGTGATTCTATAATCTCTGCTCAGATACGGCCCCGTGGCCTTAGAGCACATCCTGGAGAGGGGGAGCCCAAACACTGCTATCCCCCAGTGAGGAGCCTGGTGCTGCTGGAGGCTCTGAGAGGTCAGCAGCTCACAGGCTTGTGCAGAAGGGAGTTCCTCATGCTCTGGATAGCCCTGTGCTGGGAAAAGAAGCTCAGTCAGAAGATGGCCCCAAAGGATGCAGGAGCTGAGCAGAGCTGCCAGAAATGACTCTGCAAGGGGAACAAAGAATCAAGTGGGGAGGAGAAAATACTTGTTCCTAGCATGTCTGAAATGCCCTCCTGTGCTCCTCCCTCCTCCAGCAGCAACATATGTTGCTCGTGCAGCCAAGATCATTACAGTGAGGGAACGTGGTGGCTTTGGACTCCCCATGGTGGGAAAGGTCTCTTCCTGGTCTGATTAGCCCAGTGGAGTCCTCACATCCACAGTGAGAAATGCCTGCTCTTCTGCACATCCCTGATGGACCATTTAAGTTTTTTATTTTTGCCCCACTGAGGTTTTACACCATCTCTCTGGGGACACTGCTATTTCTTCTGGGAACAGAAGGGCCCTATGTTTCTACCACTTGTCCCCTTTCCTTCCTTTGCCACCTAGGAACAGCACCTGTCTCCCATATCCCCAGAAATACATGAGGAACCCGGTTGTGCAGCACCCCCGAGAATCTGGCTGTGTCCCCTGTTATGGCAGGTTAACCTGCAACCCCAGAGACGAACCAGGCTCCAACAACAACTTTAGAGTCTAAAAGAGCCTTCATCAAATCTCTGCAATAATAATAGTAATCATCATCATCTTCAGCAGCAGCAGCAACATCATCTGCATTTTTCTTATTTCCTAAGAGATAAGGGCTCTGCACACCCTCAGAGAGAAGAGGGGATCCCAGGAGATATAGATGGTTCCAGGATGCACTCAACCTCACCCAGACAAGGCAGTTCTCTCTTGGGAGTCTTCTGGGAGTTCATCATTGCAGAGCTGGCTGCAGCTTGTCCTTTCATGTGTCCAAGTTGGACAGGAAGGGGCCATAACACTCTCCCATCTTAGGGTACACAACAGAGGAAAAGCAAATGCAGAAAGATTAAGACTTCTGCCTTTCCAAAGTGAGGGGTAAAAGACATATAGACCAGCCTCTCTGACACATCGTCCTGTACAACATCTTGGGAGTCTCTGCTTCCTTGATGCTTGTGTATCCTCTCCCACCAACCTCAAGCCCTTGATGGGGTTGGCCTCTCCTGGCTCCTGCACAGTGTCTAGCCCCAAACTCCTGTCAGCACACCGCAAGGCTGCAGCTCATACAAACACAATGATAAACAACAAATCCTGCTGGCACCAGCTGTCCCACTCAGCCCCCGAGGCACTGTGGACTTTCTCCCTCTGTCCAAAAGGAGATATCTCAGGAATTAATAAACGAAATTTCCTGCCCCACTGTCCCATTACATCTCATAAATCGGTTCTGAAAAGCTCATTGGAAAAAAACAAAACCAAACCAAAACCAAAACCAGCCTTTCCACTTGATAATAACCCTTCCTTCTCAGTTTCTTCAAAACACATTTGATCTGCATTTATCCTCTCCTTACTTCTATCCTTTAAGAAACAAACAAACCAAACTATTTTTACTTTTTCCATAGATTCATAGAATAATTTAGGTTGGACAGGACCTCTGCAGATCACCCATTCCAAGTCCTTGCTCAGAGAAGGTCTCATTAGATCCAACTAGTCAGGGCTGTGCCTAAGTCTTGAAAATTTCCAGGGCCAGAGCCTGCACAACATCTCTAGAAAACCCATTCCAGTACTTGAGAATTTTCAAGGTCAAAAAAAAAAGTAAAAAAAAAAAGTTTTTAATATCTAAATAGAATTTCCCAGGTTCCAAATTGTGTCCATTGCCTCTTGTCCTACCACTGCACACCTTTGAGAAGAGCCTGGCTCCATCTTTTCCACATCCTCAGAGCACGTAGTTGTAAACACCCATAACATCTCCATTGAGCCTTATTTTCCTAAGGCACTGTTCCCTCAGGATCTATTAGTGCATTAACTGAGCAGGTTAATTCATGTCTTCTGCCTGCACTGCTCCGTGACTGCTCAGAGGCCAGAACAGCGATGTTGAATATATTAGAGGATAAGGAAGAAAAAAAGGAAGAAGTGCTTGGACTGATGATTAAAAATGATTATAGAACCTTGAGACAAGAATGGATGATGGCACAGCATGACCCACGTAGTAATGGATGCTGGGCTTCCAGGAGTCATGAGCATGGCCATGGGCAGGGACATCTTTCATTAGATCAGTTGCTCAAAGCCCCATCCAACGTGACTTTGCTTTATTCAATAATTCTAGAAGAGAAGGTCTACCTAGCCTCTTTTTCATTCTTCCTCTAAACACCTATGTAAGAACAATACATCAAAAGGAATGTGCAGACATTAAAAAAAAAAGTGTGGAGTCCTAGAGCTCCTTTTATGCCCATTGGTTCTTACATGTAAACAATGTCAGGTCTCAGCAGACCAAGTGCAGTTTGCAGGGCTGGGAGCAGCTGGGGCCCTT